AGATCTTTCGTCTAACTGGGAATTCGTTGAGCAGTACGTTGAGGCATTCAAGCCATTATTCGTTTGCACCAAAAACTTTGCAACTTGCACCATGAATCAGGCGTTTTATCATTCTATAATTTTGGAATCGATTTAAAAAATGCCTTGAAGTTTGGTTAGCTGTGAGATCCTTTTTCTCATAACCACTTCGAAACGTTAAGTTTACAAATATCAGCTCCCACGGTACATACCACAATGAAACTGTTACTCTACGTTTGCTGCACGCACTGCAGCATACATGAAGTAGAAATTTCAGGTGAAATGGGGCACTGATCTCCGAGATTTATGTAATTGAAAAATTCAAAGTGGAAGTGAATATATTGCCTTTGGGCGGCCATTTGGGAACTCTACAAGGAATAACCTTAATTAATTAAATTAATCGTTTTGGAGTTTGAAATTACTCGATCTTCGTTGAAACCATTGTAATAAACTATATTCAATTGCTTTCTCCTTGATTTTAATTTCCATACGCAAGCAATTGACGATTTTTGCACCATCCTACTATAAATATACATTTAGAATCTTGTTTAGAATGCAACATTTCCTCATGAGAATTATCATAGGTCATCGTTCTGAAGGTTTACGTTTCCACTGGAAATGAGGAGCTCTGATTTTAAATTTGAAGTAATTTTGATAATTCCTTTAAACATTCATTGTGATATTATGCAGGATATTTTGGGATCCCACTGCAATATTTGTACCTGTGGAGTCGGATCTAAAACGACGTACTCCGACTCCGACTCCTCTGATTTGAAAAAAAAAAATCCGACTCCGACTCCGATTCAATCAAGATAAAATAAAAATGAATTTGTTGTAATGTTGTGATCCAAATTTAAGAGTTTGTTCTTGCTCCAAGACTAATTAATAATTCCTAAATTAATTGAGGAATGTCCTAACAAGAAGACATTCAAACAATACAGTACTCGTTCGCTAATTTCTAACGCGTTCTTTAACTGGGCTACCAATAAAAGTGATAATTTTAGAAGTTAGAGACAATATAAAAAAAAATATTATTATAATTTTTTAACTAAACTAATCCCCTCCTCTTGGCTAGTTTTTAAGCTGGACGTTGGTGGGCGGACCTAATCTTATGCTTCATAGTGGAACGTTGGAGACGGTTGGTTTGGGTCCGGCATCGTTGGCTCATGCCGTGGCAGAATGGCGTCATGAGCATGCGATGAGGATTGCTAAGCTTCCCCTCTCTGATGAACCATTGCAAGAGAGAAGCATAGTTCAAGTCTGAAGTGATATTATCACACCTGTTACTCCTTTTTTGGGAGCCGCGTCGAGGTACCCTTACGTATAGGCACTGACGTTGGGTGCGATACTGGCGGGTTTTTCCGCGGATCACTCTTATTTTATTTATTTTTACACAGATGGGTTTGCACGGGAGTAATACTATTGAAATGTTTCAGAAAGTGCTCCTTCTATTTGCGTGACAAGCTTTCATTGTTGTTTTCATTGAAGTATTACTCAGGGAACAATGTTAACACCATTTTTGTACATGGTATTGTAACTAATCTTATATATGCTTCATTTTGGTTTGGGATAAGTGTTTGATCTATGGCTTGGGATTTCCACTGTGGCGTGCTACTATTGTGTCATATCCTTACGTAATCTTGTGGGACGACATAGTTGAAACGTGTGAGCGTAGTTGGAGTATATACCCTATATAATTAAAAAAAAAAACGGCTAGGAAACTAACTTCAAAGTGAAGCATTTTGGTCACTTGAGGGTGTCACCTGGGACGAACTTGAACACGTTGGATTTTAGATTACATGCACACACTTGTGCTTAATAAAGCATGGATTGTGGTTGATTGGGTGGATTAGAGATTTCAATTATTTATTAAATTAGGCTAATGAGATATCATAATCATCAAACGAACTTAAATAAGAAAATTTAGACAGCCTAGACATTGGGTAGATTAACAAAAGAGTTAGGTTGGGGGGAGGCGGGGTTCGCTTAGGGAGGCAACTAGCCTTTAAAGCAACTGGCAACTAGCCTTTTCATATATTGTCTGTTTATTTTGATGGTTGCTTTAAAATATCAATTTGGTATTAATGTGAAAGGATGAATCAGTAAGAGATGGATCGGTTTCTTTACATTTTGCAGCACAAATCTAGTACTATGTGTCGTTTCCTCAAAACCCCCTAATAACCGACCTCTTCAATCCTTTCCTTTTCCCATGGCGTACAAGTGGTCCGCATAGACTATTCAGCCATTACCCTTCCTTTATCCTCGGCTTTGGATTGACTTGCGCTCCCATTGCCTGACCAAACGCTGCAAAATGAAATGAATTTATGAACTAAACTAATCTCAATCTTTAACTAAATCGGTCATCATTTATAACGGAGCCGCATTTGAAACACAATTTTGAATTAGATTCCTGAGATTCAAATGAAAAAGGCGAAATTTCCAACAAAATTTATAACAGCCTAAGTTCCAATTCAATGGTCTGAATTTGTATAAGTAATTGGCTCGATATGAAAATAAAACATTAACTACTTCTAACGAAATTGATCGCAACTTTTCACCAATGTAAAGACTGGAACGCGCAAAAATTGACCGACAAAAAAAATCGTTTCCTTCAGTCAAAATTCATAACACAAAAACCTTCTTATTTTTCTTTTGGTAGTTCAATTCACATATTTAAAGGAAAAAAATGATCGTTTATTCTTTTGGTTTGCCAAATCCAAACTGCCGTGCCTTCCGCTTAACTCCTTCCATTAAATTTTGCACAGTGGTCTCATCGACCTTATTCGCCGCCGAACGCCAGTTAGATTTAAACTGCTGCTCGTTTCCCATGGATTTATTAGTTTTTTTTTTTTTAGATACCGTTTGACCAAGGCCCAATACCGTTCGATAGGGCGGTGTTCTGGGCTGTTGGGAGGGTTGTGGTCTTTGGGTACCACAACCACGTTGTTCGCATCGTACCACTCGATTGCACTTTTCCCATAGTGGCAGCTCGTCAAGTCCGGCCAGAACAGCACAGGTCTATTATGTTGCTTTAGGAATGGTAGCAGCCGCTTTTCCATGCACTCCTGGACGTAGATCTCTTGATTGATGGTTCCCGTAGTAATGAAAATGCCGTTTTTTAGACCACACGTGCATATGGCCTGTCAGACGAGATATTTTTTCGGGAACTTCGATAGTTTGATGGTTTTGAAAATTTCAGCCACCTTCCGTTTTCCTAATGCGGTATAAAACTCGTGTCTCGAAAGCTGCTTGAAATCCGCCTTCACATAAGTTTCGTCGTCCATGACGACACAGTCGAACTTTGTGAGCAGATTCGTATACAGCTTTCGGGACCGCTGCTTTGCCGACGTGTTTTGTTTGTAATCTCTGTTCGCCACCGTGACCTTCTTAAACGTCGACAACCCGGCTCGTTTCTTGGCCCGCTGCACAGTAGTATGGGAGACATTGAGCTTGCCAGCGACGTCCTGGATGGAGAGGTTAGGATTCCGCTTATATTTCATCGTCGCTGCCACGTCTGGGTTATGATTGCCGGAAGCGGCTTCCAGGCTTCCTGGCGGTCGACAGACGCTCCCCGAACACTTTTAAAACGTTGGTCACGGTCGATTTGGCCACATCCAGCAATTTTGCCAACTAGGCGCTCCTCCTCACCATTTCAAAGATATTCGATAGCTGTACCTAAGTAGTATTTTGGAAAATAGTACTTTTCAATAATTCATAACTTTTTTGTTTATGAGTTGGCCAGCAAACGCACATTGTCAATTAGTAGCACTTTATCTAAACTGCAATATAAATATACAAAAAAAAATTCAATTGGAGTATTTTTTTTTTATAATTTAGATTTTTTTTTGTAAATATCAAAATAATTTTTTACAGTGTATATTTTTTCTTGAAAGGTACAATACTTGTCCGCAACTTCACCGAAGACAGCATCCCGATCAAACAAATCGGTCACGAGATATATGTTTTTCTATTGATGCGTATCATTTTTGCATAAGCCCTTTTCAACTGTTAGTCGTGTACAAAACTAGGGAACCAAATATGTAAAATGGCATGTTGGACAATAACAAACAACTGTGCAAAGTTTCAACATAATCGTAGAGGGTCGATCCAAAAATTTTAAAAAAATCGTAATTTGAAATGGAACTGCTGTACTATAGGAATCTTGACTGTATGTTTATTGCACGAATACAAAATGAACGATTTTTCAAAAGCGGAAGCCGTCGCCTGGTTGACGGCTTGAATGTTTCGTTTTTGTTGGTATTTTCTTGCAGAGGGTGATCCATGTTTCACCAATGAGGCAAAGGAGCACTAACATAATCTGTACCGGCTCATTTGCCGTAGCTTTGCGGAGCCGATATTCATTGTTTAGATAACAAAATTACATAAGGTTAGGTTATCTTTATTAGCGAGACTTTCAGTAAATTACTTCAAACTAACGTTAGGGCTGATTACTCGCGGCTATTTCGAGGTTAGGGGTAACAGATTGTAACAAATGGATGACAGGGTAGGGATTGAGAACACAAGGTTTGGAGAGTAATGTGCTCTTGATCTCGAACTAAGCGACATACTAATGTAAAAGACAGACATGGGGGTACACCGATGGGGAGCTAACAACTTGGGAAAACACAAGATGACACTAACTACTAAATCCTCAGATCTATCCGTTTTAAACACACATACATTAAACTCGAATAGTCGAGGTCTCGGCTCGCCCAGACATCTCTAACGGGTATTGCAGGTTGTTTTCCTCGGGCCCTGAGGGATGTGGATACATCAGATTTGGCAACACGGTGTAGGGTATATGACCAAACAACATGCACATAAAATTTATAAATAGCAAATTTTTAACGATGGGCCCAATATTAGATCCATAGGCCAACATTAGAGCCATTTTCCCTACGTTAAACGTAGTGTTGGAAGTAGTGCGCTATAATCGTACAATAATACACTCATGCACCGGGTGATCTTCTTGTCCCTAGCTGAACTACTTCATAAATTGATTATCAGGAAGGTGATAACGCACTACAGCACCAAAAATTGTCAATATCACAATAATTAAAGTCTCTAGATTTCAATAAGGTGGCATACAAATCGAGGCGATATAAAAATGATACACATATGAAGGTAATTTCAAGCCGCATTAAGGACGAATCGTGTCCAGGAAAAGCTCCGATAGCTAATCAAGTTATCCCATCTTCTGTTTAAGTTTTTTGAGGAAATCTTTCGCTTGCTTGTCGCCTTGGCGATACTCCAGCGCTCGTACGCAGTCAGTGTCTGAGGAGGAAAAGTAGTGAATTATATTTAGTCAGTTTGAAAACGGCATTGAAGCCCAATACTAATAATTACCCAATCGACGCGGTCGAGTCAACTTCAAATGCTTTTGTTCGATTTTGCCACTCTCGCAAGAGATGTCTGCAATATCATTGAAACTTAAATAACACTCGGCCAGGTATTGATTGGACATTCCAAACAGATCCTTATCTTTCACGCTGAATAGGATAATTGCATCCTTCACGGCCCGTTGCTCCGGGTTGAATGTTCTGCAAGAATTGCTTATTTAGGTGCCTCAATATAACATGAAAACGATTATAAAGATACTTACACGACAAATTTTTCGTCATACAGGGGGAACAACGTTTTCGATTGAGTGGCAGTGCGCAGTTTGGCAACACCGACGAACCGTTCCTCTGGTATGTAATGTATTCGTACAAAAGAGTCACATGTACCGTTCGTGTCCATTGGCCTTAAGTTGCGTGCGTTCATAATTTCCATTTCAAGGACGTTGCCTTTGAAGAAACATTGCAGCGTTAGCATTCCATAGATGTCGTCTTCTTCGGTTTCCTGTTCCTTCAGCCTATCAAGGTAATACTGATGAATAAGGTCGGTTGTTTCGTACCCATGTAACTGCAATAGCCGTTCAATGTGCTCCAAAGTTTCCCTATCCGAAGCGTTCTCGGATTCACGATTTTGAGCACTTTTGAAGTTTTCCACCATAATGTGCAACGTATCACGCAAGTTGGCAAAAAATGATGGCGGGCGACGTTTCTAAAAATATTGAAAAAAAAATCGATCGCTATAGAGTAATGGTTGAAAATAAGTCTATATGGTCCTACATCAAGGTTACTCTGAATGAGGTCATACAGGATAGTAGTCAATTCGCTCCAAATGGCATCCAACACTCGTTCGAAGTTGACTTCATGCAGTTCACTGTTGAGAGTCGCAAGGGAATCTTCCATGTACATCATTAATCGATCCATTGAATTGGAATCTTGTTGAAGCAATTCTGCGCCTTCCACTAAGAATCGTCGCATGGCCGGTGCCATTTTCTTGGCCAACTTCTCAACCAAATCCAGAATCTTGTTCTTTTCGGTGTCAACTGCATTCTCCAGTACGGCACGTAAAGTGTTAGCGCATCGATCCGCTTCCGATGGGCTTTGAACCTCCGACAACCGATTGATGATATCGTCTACGCCAAGCTCAGATGCAAACAGCTTCAAGCTCTGCCGAATGTAGTCGATGTTGTTGATAGCAAGACACCATTCCGTGGTAACCTCGAACTTCCTTTCGTATATGTTTTCCACCACACCTAGGTTTTCTACACGAGCAGACATTCGATCGGCGTAGAATACACAACAGCGACAAATATCCTGCCAAAACATGTAATAGGTAATATGAGAGTGAGAAATTTGACTAGGTATATAGCAGACTTACATCGACAATTTTCGCAACAAAGATGTATGCTCCCTCTATATCGGGCCAATCTAGTTGCTGCCAGAATACTTTGATCTGGTAGAAAATCGCTAACGTATCCACGGCAGATGAAGAATACTTGACCGTCTCGTCTACCGATTTCAACGTGTCCAATTCGATTGCTTTATGAATTCGCATCAGGGCTTTGTACACTGAAATGTCCAACCAGTGGGTCACTCCTACCGTGAACCAATTATGGTACTCGTCGATGGCAAAGTTGGATTCTCCAGGACTCAGCGCTGGACCGAGTTTGGAAAAGCGCTTCAGCACTATATACAACTCAAACAAAGTTGTTCCCATGTTGATATCTTCATACTTCAAAAGATCACTGTTTGATTCTGGGATGTCGATACGTTTCAGACTACGACAAATTTGCTCCACGCAAGGTTTGATCAGCTCGGCTAACTTCAGTTCGTAAGTTATGTAGAGTTCTTTGGTGTATTGAAAATGGATAATCCTAGAGTAAAATAACCAGTTAATAAACCTTACACTGAGAGATCATTGTGTTGATAAAAACTCACTCTTGGAAAATCTTGTCGTAATGTTCAATTGATCGCTGGATATCCGACCGCACCAGTTGAATTATTTTGATCATATTCTGTAGCCGATCCTCATCCAGTCCAGTCTGCACGAAATGACCTTCCTTGATGTTAACGAACCAACTTTCTGCACCGGTAACGACAGCACTTGCTACCGCCTCCCGAATATCCCAGCTAGGCTCCGTAGTGTTAGACCTTCGAATCCAACTATATTGTTGCACGGGGAATAGATCCGTTCCTTGCGGAGGTTCCAGCATGGAAACTTTGGCTATAATATTCAGTACATCTGTTAGCATTTTGATGACCAATTTATCACCAGCGGTTCTCTTCCGTAGCTTCCGGATGACAGAAAAGCAAGACGGAAGTAGTTTTTTCGTAGCATCCCAGAATTGCTTCAGATGTTCCTCGGATACCACATTCAACTGAATAGCGCGAACAAGTTTATCCAAAATAGAATCAAAGAGACCAAATGCCAGCGGGTGGTCAAGGTGGATCGCAGTATACACTGACCACTGTATGAAGGCACTTGCTGTCGTAGAAAGGCTACTTTGGGCGGAGTGTTGGGTGAGTACTGCCTCACCCTGGACGGTAAACTTCCCGGACCACCAGTAGTGTGCTACTTTCGAGGTTTCCAATTCATGAAGGAGCAGTATTCTGAGGAGGTGCCTATGCTCTTGAGCTGCTACCTGATTGTTTTTCTGCGAGCTAAAGTTCAGTCTTATTCTAACCATTCCTTGGCGTTTCAGTTTGTTTTTCTTGTCGAGATTGTACCACATTACCAAACCAGATGCGGGAATTGACTGAAAAAAAAAGATAACTAAGTTAGTGTTAATCCTTGTTCAATTTTAAATGGTCTTCATCCATATGCATAAATAAGTATGAATCTGGTCTCGTTACCTGAGGGATTTAATGTAAATGAAAAGGAATTTGAAATAATAACAAATCCCAGATAAAAATCTGACTTCATACATATATGATGAGATACATGGTTCAAATTAGGTTCCCCAAACTTTGAACTCATTTGTATAGAACTGACCAACCTTATATACCCCTTTAACACATGATAGGTCATCACTTCTCCGGGAATGAGATTTGAATTTGTGACCTTCAGCCCTCGCTTCAGCCTATGATGCTAAGCACTACACCGGCCCCAACCCTTTTGAAGATTACTATGGTATAACCCAACTTATTATTCATTGCCTTTTAGTCTTTTCCATATTGATGTAATAAAAAAACGGTAGCCATTCTTCATTTTCAGCTGGAAGGTTATGAACAAAAAGTTTGTTTATCCCATAGTAATGTCCATATAAGCATCAAATGATTTGAGCGCAGTCAGTTTCTTACAAAATGAGTTCAATTCAGTTCAGAAGCTAATCAGGACTTGGTTGTGTAACGTTTGAGCACTGGGAAGCGAAAATTTTATATTTTGCGGCACTGTCATTTTCATGCGATTCAATGCGTCGGATCATAGGTCAGAGTCTGGGACCCGAACATATCCGGATGTTGGCAATATGGTTCAGAGCACTCACTATGAATGCCATCAAACATGCTGTGTATAGGGTTGGAGCAGCTTATAGTCGTGCCATGGTCCGGGTCTGGGTACTTTTGTTTTTATATCTTATGTGATTTAATGTGTAGAATGATGAGTTTTGTTTCAAGTCTAAATCTGTCCACTTCTTCTTGTATGACAACCATTAAACTAGTTTTCGAATTCAGATGTGATTGGAGCTGTTGAATGATGAGTTTGACGCGATTTAGGTAATCTCTAGTGACCAGTTCTCACCGGAACATTTTTGGGCCACATCTGCCGAACTGGTTGATTGATTAATAGAATATTCAAAGCGTTCTAACCATAGTACCTTTCATTTGGTGGTTGTTGCGTTATTCAGTGGTTGTTGAGAAACATTAATTACTTTATTTCGTTACACACACACATACATACACACACACACACACACACACACAGACACACACATCTTGGAGAGGATCATCCTAAACAGGCTGACGAAATACATGGATTGTCGGAGAGGCAGTTCCGATTCCGGAAAGGGAGATCGACGGTTGATGCAATTCGGGCAGTGATCGAGAGAGCTGAGAAGACGTCCAAACAGAAGCGGAGAGGAGATCGATATTGCGCCGTGATAACGATCGACGTCAAGAATGCGTGCACTAGCGCCAGCTGGGAGTCCATCGCCGAAGCGCTGCATAGAATGAGAGTTCTTGACTATCTGTGCAGGATCCTGAGAAGTTATTTAAGGAACCGAGTTCTGGTCTACGAGACAGACATGGGGCAGAGATCGATTAGGATCACAGCGGGGGTTCCACAAGGATCCATCCTTGGTCCAATGCTCTGGAACGGGATGTACAACGGCGTGCTAACGCTGAAGCTGCCCAAAGGAGTTGAGATCGTTGGCTTTGCGGACGTCGTCGTCTTGACGGGCGAAACGCTAGAAGAGGTGGAAGTGTTGGCGACCGAGGTGATCGACATGATTGGTAACTGGATGCAAGGAGCGAAGCTGCGATAGCCCACCACAAAACGGAACTGTTATTGGTCACTAACTGCAAAGCGGTACAGCGGGCAGAAATCACCGTCGGGGAGCACGCCATAGCTTCGAAGCGTGTGTTAAAATACCTGGGAGTGATGATCGATGACCGGAAAAAACTTCAACAGCCACGTCGAATATGCCTGTGAGAAGGTTTCCAAGGCCACCACCATGATAGCTAGCATCATGCCGAACAACGCTGGTCCCAGCAGAAGCAAGTGGCGTCTTCTGGCCAGTGTGTTGTCGTCGATACTGAGGTATGGAGGTCCAACCTGGGTTGCAGCGCTGGAAACGAAGCTGAACTAAATGAAACTGAGCAGTACGTTCCGGCTCATGGTCATGCGAGTCGTGAGTGCGTACAGAACCATCTCGTCGGAAGCAGTATGCGTTATCGCCGGAATGATCCCTATTGCCATCACCCTGGTTAAGGACAGCGAATGCTACAGGCGGAGAGAAGCCGGAAGAGTACGGAAAGTTGCGAGAGCGGAGTCGTTCGCTAAGTCGCACAAGGAGTGGAACACGGTGAAGAACGGTAGATGGACACATCAACTAATACCGATTTTTTCAACCTTGGTGAACAGAAAACAGAGAGAAGTCAACTTCTACCCAACGCAGTTGTGAGTTGACAACCTGCAAGAAGCGTTTTACCTTGGTCCTCACAAGTTCCTACCTCACACCTCCCCGCGGTGTAGTCTGGGCAATGTTGTCCTTCCGACAATAGCAAAGTGGGGGGTACGACGTGAACACTGGCGTGGTAACCATGGCACGGCGATAGAGGAAATGTTTTGTCAACCCGCAGGAGTGCCAACCGGCACATTGGGATCGACGCCAGTACACCCAACCGGGGCATGTAAGATTCGCTTACAATTATGTGGGATTCATCATCAGAGGATGTTAGTGGAGACCGCATGAACCGAGGATGCGATATACCTAGCTGCGGTCCAATGCAAGAAAATTGGAGGCCGAAAAATGTAGAGTGTATTAGTGAGGTAAATTAGTTATGTCGAAAAAAAATAGGAATCAGATTGCCGATTGGACTCGAACCACGAACGTTGCGATTATCAGACCTGTGCTTTCTCCACTGCTCTCTCCATGCTTCTGAATATGGATTGCCTAAAAGCAAACATGAAGCGCTCATTTTCTCGCATACTCGACTTCGTATGCTTTTTCTGCTGGAGAGATTCGAAGCAAGTGTGTGCGTCTAAATCTGTCCACTTCTTCTTGTATGACAACCATTAAACTAGTTTTCGAATTCAGATGTGATTGGAGCTGTTGAATGATGAGTTTGACGCGATTTAGGTAATCTCTAGTGACCAGTTCTCACCGGAACATTTTTGGGCCACATCTGCCGAACTGGTTGATTGATTAATAGAATATTCAAAGCGTTCTAACCATAGTACCTTTCATTTGGTGGTTGTTGCGTTATTCAGTGGTTGTTGAGAAACATTAATTACTTTATTTCGTTACACACACACATACATACACACACACACACACACACACACAGACACACACATCTTGGAGAGGATCATCCTAAACAGGCTGACGAAATACATGGATTGTCGGAGAGGCAGTTCCGATTCCGGAAAGGGAGATCGACGGTTGATGCAATTCGGGCAGTGATCGAGAGAGCTGAGAAGACGTCCAAACAGAAGCGGAGAGGAGATCGATATTGCGCCGTGATAACGATCGACGTCAAGAATGCGTGCACTAGCGCCAGCTGGGAGTCCATCGCCGAAGCGCTGCATAGAATGAGAGTTCTTGACTATCTGTGCAGGATCCTGAGAAGTTATTTAAGGAACCGAGTTCTGGTCTACGAGACAGACATGGGGCAGAGATCGATTAGGATCACAGCGGGGGTTCCACAAGGATCCATCCTTGGTCCAATGCTCTGGAACGGGATGTACAACGGCGTGCTAACGCTGAAGCTGCCCAAAGGAGTTGAGATCGTTGGCTTTGCGGACGTCGTCGTCTTGACGGGCGAAACGCTAGAAGAGGTGGAAGTGTTGGCGACCGAGGTGATCGACATGATTGGTAACTGGATGCAAGGAGCGAAGCTGCGATAGCCCACCACAAAACGGAACTGTTATTGGTCACTAACTGCAAAGCGGTACAGCGGGCAGAAATCACCGTCGGGGAGCACGCCATAGCTTCGAAGCGTGTGTTAAAATACCTGGGAGTGATGATCGATGACCGGAAAAAACTTCAACAGCCACGTCGAATATGCCTGTGAGAAGGTTTCCAAGGCCACCACCATGATAGCTAGCATCATGCCGAACAACGCTGGTCCCAGCAGAAGCAAGTGGCGTCTTCTGGCCAGTGTGTTGTCGTCGATACTGAGGTATGGAGGTCCAACCTGGGTTGCAGCGCTGGAAACGAAGCTGAACTAAATGAAACTGAGCAGTACGTTCCGGCTCATGGTCATGCGAGTCGTGAGTGCGTACAGAACCATCTCGTCGGAAGCAGTATGCGTTATCGCCGGAATGATCCCTATTGCCATCACCCTGGTTAAGGACAGCGAATGCTACAGGCGGAGAGAAGCCGGAAGAGTACGGAAAGTTGCGAGAGCGGAGTCGTTCGCTAAGTCGCACAAGGAGTGGAACACGGTGAAGAACGGTAGATGGACACATCAACTAATACCGATTTTTTCAACCTTGGTGAACAGAAAACAGAGAGAAGTCAACTTCTACCCAACGCAGTTGTGAGTTGACAACCTGCAAGAAGCGTTTTACCTTGGTCCTCACAAGTTCCTACCTCACACCTCCCCGCGGTGTAGTCTGGGCAATGTTGTCCTTCCGACAATAGCAAAGTGGGGGGTACGACGTGAACACTGGCGTGGTAACCATGGCACGGCGATAGAGGAAATGTTTTGTCAACCCGCAGGAGTGCCAACCGGCACATTGGGATCGACGCCAGTACACCCAACCGGGGCATGTAAGATTCGCTTACAATTATGTGGGATTCATCATCAGAGGATGTTAGTGGAGACCGCATGAACCGAGGATGCGATATACCTAGCTGCGGTCCAATGCAAGAAAATTGGAGGCCGAAAAATGTAGAGTGTATTAGTGAGGTAAATTAGTTATGTCGAAAAAAAATAGGAATCAGATTGCCGATTGGACTCGAACCACGAACGTTGCGATTATCAGACCTGTGCTTTCTCCACTGCTCTCTCCATGCTTCTGAATATGGATTGCCTAAAAGCAAACATGAAGCGCTCATTTTCTCGCATACTCGACTTCGTATGCTTTTTCTGCTGGAGAGATTCGAAGCAAGTGTGTGCGTCGTTCTACAAGCTTACTGGTATAGTCGAAAGCGTAGATAGAACACGAAATAAAAAAGACAAAAAACTATTACATCGCCTGCATGGTCAATTTCTAACATTCGTTGTGATGTTCATGAACAGAGAATGATAGGGAACGGAACTAACATTCATTGTAATAGATTCTTGGTTTGCGTGTAAGATCCTAATTACGGCATACTGGACACGGCATGGAATAATGGATACGACACGGAACAAGTGTGCTGCTAGGGGAGAATTTGGAGAATAACTCGAGGAAAGTTCTGAGCAGAATTCTTCGGTCATTCTAAGAAGAATTCCATAGATATTTTAAAACGCAAATGCATTCTGAGGAATATTCCAATAGATTTTTAAAAAAATATGTAGACAAATTCAAGCGAGTGATTGCAAGAACGTATTTACATTGGAAAGAAATTGAAAAGATTTCTCTGATTTCCATTTCACTTACCTTTAGTGGTATACTTGCACGTCCGATCAGTTCATTGTCATGCTTTCCTGTAGACGCTGTAACTGCAATTTCCTTCATAAGTTTCCTCAATCCTCTAACACCTTTTACGTCGAAAAGCTTGTTCATCTTCTCCCTCACCGTTTCAGCTGGATCGAAATCCCACACTTCCACAATCAAATTAGCATCGTTTGCATTCTCATCGATTGGCCTGTAAAAGCAAATCATATCATTCAATGTTACCATCAATATTCCTCATAACACGTTAACCTACAAGGAAAAGTGTTCTTCCCACACCGGCTCCAAGGTTTTCCACTTGCCCGATGTATTGTAACGATGCGTTGGATTCGAAGCGATATACATTGTTACAAATGGATCGGATAGACCATTGGAGTCTTTTGGTTCCAGCTCTTTGGCTTCAATGATCTCCACGTTGAGACAGATTTTCGGAGGCTCCTTATTGCGTGCTGCCTTCATGATTTCCTCGTGCTTCTCGTTGGATATTTTAAATGCATCCTGAACGTAATGGACCAAACTTTCTTCGGTCAACTCTTCTTCCTCACAGCCTACAATATTGAAAATTTCGAATAGCACTTCTTCGTACAGCTCTTCGATCTGTTGCACAATGGAAAAAAATAAATGGATATTAATTATATTAAATAATTGCGAAACCGATCATATGTAATTAAACTATTGCCTACAGTCATCGAGTGAATGAGCAGACTAGCCTGACGGTCCATTTCTTCCATCCGTGCACCACGAAACTGATTGCGATGACGGTTGACCGTCGGAATGGGCAGCATGTTGTACAGATCGTTCGGTTCCTTTCTTGTGTCGTATAATCCTTCCGTCCGGGCTACGGACTTGGAGCGCTTTTCTCGTTCACGAAAGGATTTTGACAGACGGAGTGTTCCAAATTTAAAGTTGATCTTATGGTTGGCGCTCATGCCCCCACCACCGAGGAGTCGTGGCAGCGAAAAGGTACTCATGATGTCTTTTTTGCAATTGTTTGTTCCAATAAGTGGTAAACTATGTCCAAGGGTTTTCGTCGTTTGTCAAGCTTTCTTTACCTAATCTAAATCACACTGCATGGCGGATGGGTTCTGTTTAATTAGAGAACATCTTACAATTACTGATCGGTCTCTGTATTTTCGCTTTAAAGGTATAGCTATTGTGTACGGCACGCATTGAGTATTCAAGACACGCACTTGAAAGCATGCCGATTAAAATTGGATGAACGAAGTACCTGCATAGCTTTCAGTTTACATTTTGTCAATAAGACTCGAGTATCAATATGCCTTAATAAAAAAAAATCTTCTAAAAACAAGTCATGTTTATTCAGAAGATCACAAAACGAGTGAAAACTTGAAGTAAATAATTTGCATGGTGTGCTGCTGACGCCACAAGTATGAGGTGTCTGAAATAATTATCAAACTTGCATTCAATTGATCGTATTTTCTATGCTTAAGCAAAAACACCGTTACAAATATGTACTATGTTGTGGAAAAGAGATGGAAAAAAGTTTCAATACATGTGGATTTTTTTTCGCATCGTTATTCTGGAATAAATGCGCCTGCTTATTATAAGAACTGTTTGTTTTATGAAGTGCAAAATCCCATATTCACATAGGGGAAATGACGGCTTCGGCATGACAGACTATTTTCGGCAACCCAAATTGAAACGGCAATTTCACTGGATTTTCTTAAGAAAACACTTCGCTGAATGCATTAAAACTATTCATTAAGCTTTCAGTTTCAATTTGATAATATGTTTACCACTGAGAAAAAAGCAATCTAGCAGGGTTTTCTTGAAATTAAACACACGCACTACAAAATGCTGCTGATTTCGAGTTGCCGATGAAAACACAGCTGTTTAACACGCAGCTTAAATAGAAAGGGGTTGCCCACAATAGTCGCTCTCACTAGAGAAGATTGGAGCATTGTAAAAGCGTTTCAAAACAGTTTTTGATAATTCTTTCGACTGAAATTGTTAGAGCAGCTTTCAGCAAAAGATTGTAAATAAACCAATACTGCATATGTGTGCGTTCCTTAGAGAAAAAGGCTATAGAAAGACGGTCGCTGCTTAGGTTGCCGAGAATACGTAAATTACCCTACCAAAAAAAAACCATATTCACATATTTTAATTGTTTTTACTGAAAATGGTACTACTGAACCTTAAGAATTTTAAGTCCTATTATCCATTTGATACATATGATTATGAAGGACTATATTACCTTTGAAATGGAACTGGTTTTATTAACATGCATTACATCATCAACATTTATCAACATGAAGTTTACATACATGAATGTTTGCATGAATAGATATTCACATCACCATTTAAATTCAGATTTTTTTTCTGTAAGCGACCACAATAGCCATACCCGGTCACAGTGATGGCATAATCATTGGCAAATTGATATTTTGTCGCTCTCATACACTCTCAATATCACGCGTGATATATGAGCAAAATATCATTTATGATATTGATTTTAAAAGCTCCTTTGATATTGCGAGACTATTCACAACGTATAAAGTTGAAGCTGAGACGCAAAATTGATTCAGTTGCACACGTCAATCTATCCAGTGGGACAAACTTAACGAATTTCAAAGTTGATACGTGTTTTAGAATGTACCAATAGCGTGCCATAGCGTACCTTCAAGGATTTTGAACGTACCTCAAAGCTTCCCGGAAAACCCGTGTCCCGCTGGATAGACATACGATTTCAGCAATGACCAAGTCGATCGACCAAATTTCTATGGAAATGTGACGTACCAAATGCGTACTTTACGAATCTGTAATTCATTTTTAACGTACCTCTTATTTTCACTTAAATGCTTATACTAAACATTTTAAATCGGTTTATATATGAATTCAGGACACGGAATTGGATTAATCGGAAAATTTAAGCCCGATTTCATATTAAAAACATTATACTTAAGTGCATTCTAGCCAATGCGAGGACCATTTTTTTTTAGTTTTTTTTTTAATTGCATCCTTTAAAAATATAGTAATTTTGAACAAAACCGTTAATTTCATGAATAATTATGGAGACGCACGGTGCTGCTTGGAAAACTCCATCATGAGAAAAGCCTTGAAAACTTTCTGATCGGACATGACCAACGTACCTAACTGGAATTCACTTTCTGATAGAATTTACCAGTGATTTAAAAAAAAAATTATTTTAAAAATTCATTTTTTTTATGATACATTAGAAAAAACCTGATCAAATGATCAGATATCATTCAGAAATTATTCCTGAATATCCCTGGAACACTTTCTGATCAGTCATGACCAACTTACCTAACTGGAATTCACTTTCTGATAAAATTTACCAGTGATTTAAATAAAAAATAATATTATTTTAAAAATTAAATCCAATTCCATGCCCAGAATTCATATGTAAACCGATTTAAAATGTTTAGTATAAGCATTTAAGTGAAAATAAGAGGTACGTTAAAAATGAATTACAGATTTGTAAAGTACGCATTTGGTACGTCACATTTCCGTAGAAATTTGGTCGATCGACTTGGTCATTGCTGAAATCGTATGTCTACACGCAGAAAAAATGATTTTTGTTTCAGGGCCTAATGTATTTTGTTATTGATTCAAACATATTGTATCACTATTTCAACAAAACATATTTTTGAATCAACAAAATAGTTTTTAGAATCAACAAACAGATTATTGACTCTAGAACCGATTCGTTGATTCGAACATATTTTTCTTTGAATTAACCGAATAATATATTTGAATCAATACCAAAAATATATGAGGCCCTGAGCCAAAAATATATCTATTTGATTTTAAAAATCATTTCTCTGCGTGTATCCAGCGGGACACGGGTTTTCCGGGAAGCTTTGAGGTACGTTCAAAATCCTTGAAGGTACGCTATGGTACGCTATTGGTAAATTCCAAAACACGTATCAACTTTGAAATTCGTTAAGTTTGTCCCGCTGGATAGATTGACGTCAGTTGCACCTCGTTTTCTAAGAAAGAGATGCTGTAATAATGCTATTTATTTTTTCTCTTCATCGATGCAGTCACGAAGCTATTGCTACTAGTCGTTATGGAAGTTTCCGTTGCGTTCGGGTGCAAAGTAAAAATCGACAGTGAGCATTCATAAGGGCGTATACGCGATGATCGATTCTCTTCATCGATTTTCTCTTTGCATTGCTACAGCTAAGCGAAACAATTTTGTAGAATTTATTCAATGTAGAGCTGTAACAGGTTGCATTGGCCATCAAAAGCAACAGCAAACGTACCGACAAACGTTAAATCTAGCGAGTTATTAACGAAAGAGAAAATCGATGAAGAGAATCGATCATCGCGTATACGCCCTTATGAATGCTCACTGTCGAAATCATTAAATTCAGAAAATGATCAAAGTAGGCTGCACTGCGAAAATGACGTGTGTTTGTTTTGCTGCGTCGTTTTCGCTCTTGAAAAAAAAAATACAATTGCTCAGAAGTGGTATTAAAAAGTGTTTCAAGTAATATTTATTAAATCAGCTAAGATTATCCATATAATTATTTCTTTTTATCCATATCCATTGCAACTATATCTTAATAACTAAATACGTGCCAGTATCAAATTAGAATTTTTTGATTCTGGAAGTGTGACTACACTTCAGATATCCATTTATTATGTGAATGTGTTCATGCGGGGCTTATTGCATATGAAGATGACCTCAGAATGTACGTCTATGAACAGGCATTCTTGAAATGGGTCACTGGATTTACAGTAGAGGTATTACTTTTCATCTCCAGGGCTAAAAATGTTTGCATCTATGGGTTAAAAATGTTTTATTAACAAATAGGTACAGGCAGGTTTCTTCCATAAAAGCACTGCCTGTCAATGGGAAATGGATTGTATGCACACACCATACACAAAGCAAAAATCATTATTTTCAATCTCATCACAGTTTGGCGAGATTTCCAGCTGGTGAGGTTTGTTAGCTTGATATACTGTGCTGCGATGTCACAGCTTGCAATATCAACCGCAGTTGTTCAAGCGTGAAATTTGATTTTTTGATATTTTTCGAAAACTGTCCGGTCATGTCTTCGGCACCATAGCCTCAGCAATTGACCAGATAGAGCCAAAAATTATCATACCGCATGAAAGTTCAAAGTCAAGAATATTTAGTACCCTAAAACGGTGTAACTTGATGGTTTTTTTAAAGCATACTCTAAATAGTTTTTGCAATAATTAATGTTTTTTAAGAATATTTTGGTTTGAGTTCTAGGAACAATTCGTTAGTAATATGTTTAACGAAATTTATTGCATTTGCACAATTTTTTGCCTTGTGACGGAACATCAGTTTTTTTCATTTGGAATTACTTCGGTAATACTCGATGAATGTAGGAAAACATGCATGAATCTCAAACAATTTAGTTCAATAAATAATAAACTAGGTATATATAATCAAAAACATCATAAGAATAAGAGGATAACATTCAATCAAAATGTTTTTTATTACTTCATCTGTTTACAATTTTCAAAGTTGGGAGGAAATGCTATACTAATATCAACATGAAGCTTTAGTGCGAAAGTTTATTAAAGAACTAGAGAAAGTTTTGAAGAGGATAGATTGATAGTTCCACTAGAGTACGGCA